AATGGTAACGTCCTCCTTGTGCTGGGGAATATCTGATTGTTTGTCCTTCCTAAAGGTGGTGGCTGCTTATTTCCTGTGTGAGTGTTCCTGCCTCAAGTTTCTAAATTTTTCCAGTCTGCTAACATGAGTCTCCTCGTTGCCTTTTAGGGTCAGGTGGAGATAGAGGACCAGGTGGAAGGTTTACATTATGTAGCAGAAAAATACGGGTTCATCGACTTGAGCCGGGTCGCCATCCACGGCTGGTCCTACGGGGGCTTCCTGTCCCTCATGGGGCTCATCTGTAAACCCAACGTCTTCAAGGTGAGCCTGCACGTGGGGCTGGCACCTTTGGGACACTTGGCTCTCACAGCTTCTGTCCCTCCTGGCAGGTGGAATTGGTGTTTTGGCTGGTTTGTGGTGGACAGGTGGAAATGTCCCCCTGTCCTTCCTGTAGCTCCCAGCTCCAGTCCTGTGTCCTGCTGCAGCCCCTGGCTGGGGCTGGAGCAGGATGGCTCTGCGATGGGCTTGGTCTGCCATACAGGGAAGTACTGATGTGCTGCTCCCCATCCCTAGTGCCCAGTACACTTTCTGGATCATTCACAAGTCCTCCTTGCAGAGGGGAGGCCTTTTAGTGCTGATGTGCAGGAATTTGCCCCACTGTGACCACAAGAGGAACAGCAGGAGGGGGAATCTGGGTTCTGTGTGGGATTGCTGAAGGGGAATCCTGATCTGAGTGACAGAACAGCCCAGAGCCTGCTCTTTCCTGCCTCTCCAGGAGAGCAGGGAACACCTGGGCTGCTGAGCAGGCGATAATGGAGGCCGTGTGGTGCCACCTCTCTGTTTGACAGATTGCCATAGCAGGTGCCCCTGTCACCGTGTGGATGGCCTACGACACCGGCTACACCGAGCGCTACATGGACGTCCCCGAGAACAACCAGCAGGGCTACGAGGCTGGCTCGGTGGCACTGCACGTGGAAAAGCTTCCCAACGAGTGAGTACCTGCCCCAGACCTGCTCCTGGGCCTGCTCAGTGCCACCTCTGCTCAATCCCAGAGGAATGGAGGGGTTCTGATCCGCTTTAACTCGGCAGCAGCTGAGCCAGAGCACCCCCAGCCCCCTGCCAGTGAGGGCTTGAGGCCCGTGGCCATGGCCTGGCACTGCTCTTGCTTGGGTTTGGCTTGTCCAGCTGGCAGCTCTTTGCTCAAACCCGCTGCAGAGCTTTTATCTGGTGCCTCATCGTGTTTTCCATCTGGTTTCTCATCCTGTTTCTCTCTTTATCTCTCACCCCATGTCCAGGCCAAACCGTTTGCTGATCCTCCATGGCTTTTTGGATGAAAATGTGCACTTTTTTCACACCAACTTCCTGGTATCGCAGCTAATCCGGGCTGGAAAACCTTACCAGCTGCAGGTAGGAGGGACAGGAGTGGGGAGGGAGGGTTCCACAAATGTGGAGAAGGATCCCTGCTGTGTGTTGTGGGGATGGGAGGAGATGGAGACAGCTCCCCCACATCCTGTTGTGGTGCTGGTGGCAGTGAACACCTCGTGGACTGGAGAGGAGGCCAGGAGGTGGCACTGTGGCTGTTCCATGGCTGGCAGATGTGGCTTGTGCAGGCAGGGCCGCTGCCCTGTGGCCTGGAACCTTCCTCCTCCACGAGCTGTTCTGTCCCACATGGGAGGCTGCAGTGAGGGAGGGGGTGCTCCAGACCTTCCCTGGCACGGCTTTGTCCTGCTGGAGACTGGCTGGAGGGAGCAGGGCTGAGGGGAGGGAGTTGTGTCCCTGCTGAGTGACCGATGCCCCGTGTCTGCCCCGGCACAGATCTACCCCAACGAGAGACACAGTATTCGGTGCCCTGAGTCAGGAGAGCACTATGAAATCACGCTGCTGCACTTTCTACAAGAATACCTCTGAGAGCACGAGCCTCTGCAAACTGGACACTGACAGCTCACCTGCCCCGTGCCCTCCTGCTCCCCAGCAGCGTCCAACCCAGAGCACAAGGGGCTGAGTGCCCACATCGGGCTGGGGGTACCCCCAGGCCAGGGGGAAAAGCTGGAGGGCGCCTTCCCTTTGGACAGTGCCACCTTCTCTCACTTTCCATGCTGGAGGTCTGCCCCTGCTCGGCTGCTCGTCCTCCTCCTCTCCTCCAGCCTGGCTGTTCAATGCTTTTTTTGCTGCTACTCCCTCCCTCCTGGGAATCAATGGACAGTGGTCTGTGTCCTGAGGCTGAGGTTTGTGTCCATCTCTCTCTCCCCAATCCCTTTCTCCTTCCACTGCACCTGTGCAGTTCCCAAACTCTCACCTGCAAGAACTCAGTGCCTGTGTTGGAAACGGAAGAGCCGAATCAGAAGCTGCCTTAAGCCAGGAGTGTGAGGGAAGAGAGAATTACCTACTGCTCACCTGGGGATCTGGTCTGTGTCCTGGCCCTTGCTGCCACACTGGAGCCCTGGGAGGTGAAGAGAGGTCTACAGAAGCATGCAACACTAGTCTTTTTTATATATATATATCTATTTTCCAGTTTAAATTTGCAGAGCAGATGGAGGAAGTGGCTGGGGCCGGTAGCAGCGTCCTCTGATCCTTCCTCTCATGGCCGCTCTCACACAGAGTTGTGCCAACAGGTAGCACTGGCAGCTGGCTACAGCCAGAGCCTCTCTCCAGAGCTCACAGCAGCATTTGGGTTTTTGCAACACAAGATGGATGATATTTATGCAAATCCTCCCTCCCTCCGTTCTCTGTGCCGCCTCCCGACCCCCCTTGTCCATCCCCGAGCTTTCCCATGTGCACTGAAATTGGCTGTGCTTCAGTTCTCTGCGGGTCAGTGACTGGTCCCCTTGCCCGTCTACTCAGCAATGCTCTCTCCTGGTTTTTATTTACCTGGGCAACAGGAACTGCAGTTCTGGGGTGGGGGATTGAGCAATCACACCTCAGGGGAGCACATCCCCCCCCTCAAGCCAAGGGTTCTGCCAGGGGCAAAACGAAAACTCAAACAAAACCCACCCAAATGAACCACGTTGACTTGCCCTGGAGTATTTTAAGTGCGTATTATGAAAAGAAAATATTTTTATGGATTCTTATTCTTTTATAATTATGAGTGTAAGATGTAGCGACTCATTAAAATATTGGAAAGAGACGTGGTGGCTGCTTTGGGGGGCGGGAGGAAGCAGCAGCTGCTGCCACAGCCAGAGCAGCTCTGCTGAAAGCCAAGTGCTCTCTCTGTTCTTTCTGTGCCGAGCAGTGGAGAGAATATTAAATCCCTGCTGTTCCTCGGGGGAAGCGTGATCCAAGTGAGGGCTGGGAACCCTGGGCTGTGTTCTTGGCTCTGTGTGACCTTGAGCGAGGCAGCAGCAGCCTGGGGTGGGCACCTCCCTCCCTCGCTCCGGTGGGACTGGGGGCTGCGCCTGCTCCGGTCCCGCTCTGGGACTCACGGAGCTGGGCCTGCCTCTGCTCGCCCTCCCAGCTCAAAGCTCCCCAAACCCAGCCTTGCTTTGCCCTCCTCCATGGGAGCCGCTGTTAACTAACCTGCTCTTAATGCCCTGAGGGTGCTGCTGGAGGCCTGATCTGAACACAAAACTTCTTCAGTTTAAACTTCTTTTAAACTGCTTTTTCCTGTCCCCAAAAAAGCCCAGTGTTCCTTAAAATGTCCTAAAACACTCTTGTCTACAAGAGTTTGCAGATCTGTCGGTTCCTCTGATCCCTCAGCTTGCTGCAGGATTGTTTGGCACCCTAAAAAGGGGCTGGTCGTCTTCTTTTGGGGACTGAGACTCCTGAGAGGAATTAGCTGGGAAATCTCCTGGGAGGAGGAGCTGTTCCCTCTGGAACAGGCTCTGTTGGAGATTGAAATACAAATGATGTGGGAGGCCCCCAGCCGCTGTCCAGCGGGGAAGGCGATGGGAACAGGGAGCAGGGTGGCTCTGGGTGGAGGATTTGCAGCTGGAGGATGAAGCTGAGTTAATTTCCTGAGTGGTAATGACAGAGGAAGCAGCAGGTGCTGGGGAAACCAGGCAAAAAAGGCTCTTCCTCAAGAATTTGGGACTTGAGAGTGGCTTGGGAGGCATTTCTCTACCAAAAACCCACCCTGTAGGGCTTTATTTTTAGGTGGATTGTGTGGAGGGAGAACAGATGTTCTTGAGGACTTATTTTTAAAACAAAATCACTCTTCAAGCTACAAAATTAGCTCAGAAAAGTCACTCCTTGCCCTGAAAGATGCTTGAATGGAAAACTTCCCGGCATCTCCATTCCCAAGGTGGGTGGGATAAAGGTGCGACGACAGCTGTGGCTGCGGGAAAGCCACGTCAGGGGAAACTCGGGGTGCTCGGGGGTGTCAGGGGTTTGATGTCTGTGCTGGGCCGTGCAGAGGAACCGGAGCGGCTCAGGAATCGCAGGGTCCCCACACGAGGAGCGGGGTGTGTCTGTGCTGGCCAAAACAAGGCTGTAAATCCATCCTGGAGAATCCTCTCGGAGGGATCACAGCCAGGACAGCCCTCCCTCCCTCCCACCCTGCCAACCCACCGCTGTTTCCTTCTGGAAACTTCTCTTCCTGTGCAGCAAGCAGCAATTAAAAGTGCCTTGGTTAATTGGCTGATGCAGCCGGGGCCTCGTGGTACAATCGTGGCCTCACGGGATGGGTTGGGTGGGATGAGAATTGAAGCCCATCTTGTTCCCGGACACCTTCCAGGCTGCTCCAAGCCCCATCCAACCTCGATGCTCCCTCCAACCATGCTCAGCATTCTCCAGGCCTTCCCTCACAGCTCGGCCATCCTGCTGTCCTCTGTTCCCATGGACGCTTGTCCCAAAGGCACCTTATCCTCGCGGTCCCTCTGTCCCCTGACCACAGGGCCTCTTGTCCCCAATGTCCCTTGTCCTATTGTCCCCAATGTCCCTTGTCCTCGATGTCCCCACGTCCTCCTGTCCCTCCGGGATCCCCGCGGGTTTGGCGCGCCCGGGCTCCTGCCCACACCCAACATGGCCGCCGCGCCGCCTCCGGGCTGGCCCCTGCCGGCCGCCATAGCCCGCGCTTCCTTTCCAAGATGGCGGCGCCCAGCGGGAGGAGCGGCCGGCGCGCGTGGGCCGTGCTGGTGCCCGCAGCCCTGCTGTGCCTGGCGGCCCAGACGGCCGCGGAACCGGGCACGGCCCCGGGCACGGACCCGAGCACGGCCGAGTTCGACGTGCGGCCCGGCGGGGAGGTTCATTCCTTCTCCCGGAGCCTGGTGAGCGGCCGGGAGGGAGGGAGCGGGAGCGGAGAGGGTACGTGCCCCTCGCTGATTGGCTGCGCGCCGCGTCACTCATAACTCCTGCGGTGGGGATTGGCTGAGCGCGGGGGGGCGGGGCTAGCGGGTGGTGGGGGTCCCCAGGGCGAGAGGGGTCCCCAGAGAGGCGGGGGGAGCCCGGGGGGAACGGGGGGAGCCCGGGGGGAACGGGGGTCTGCAGGGGAAGGGGGGGAACGGGGGAACGGGGGTCTGCAGGGGAAGGGGGAGCCCGGGGGTCCCCAAGGAAAGCAGGTCCCCAAAGTGGGACAATCTCTGTAGCGAGGAGACCCCCAGGGATGGGGACCTGCCGTGGATAACGCCCCCCAGGAGAAGGGGGGTTTCCAAAGGGATGAGCTAGCCCAAGGGCAGGGAGAGGGGAAGGGGTCTCAGAGAAAGGAGGGTCCTCGTGGGAGGGGGCTCAGCAAAGGAAGGGCCCCAGTGCAGAACGGAATGGGGGTCCCTGGGCACCCCAAAAACGAGTCCTCACCCCAGCACTCCAGGCAGGAGGAAATGGCCTCAGGTGGTGCCAGGGGAGGTTCAGGCTGGATATTTTGGAAAATCCTTTATGGAAAGGGAGGTTGGGCACTGGCACAGCCGCACTGGGGGGGTCCCTGGAGGGATTTAAAGCCGTGTGGATGTGGCACTTGGGGACAGGGGTCAGTGGTGGCCTGGGCAGCGCTGGGGCACTGTTGGACTCGATGGTCGTGGAGGGCTTTTCCAACCTCAGCAGTTCCTGGAGTGTGTGGAGGAAAAGCTCGTGCTGAAGCGAGGCTGCTCCTGTTCTCTCTCTGGCAGGGGGATTACGGCTGCACCTTCACCTACTCGGCCCAGGGCGGCACGAACGAGGTGAGCAGGGCAGGCCCCGGGCACGTCCCCTTGGCATCGGCTCCTTTTTCCCATCCTGAAAGGAGAGACTCTGAGCCCTTTTGTGTGGGAGCACAGCCCTAACTGCGGCGAGCAGGGAGCAGAGGGGGCCAGCAGCGGGTGCTGGGTTATTTTGGAGCTGCTGCTGCAGCTGCAGGGGAGGGATTGCCCTGCAGGGTTTTCCCCACGCTGACTCCGGATCTTCCCTGTGCAGCAATGGCAGATGAACATCGGAGTGAGCGAGGACAGCGGGCTCTTCTCCTGCTCCATCTGGAGGTGTGTCCTGAGCAGGGGGCAGCGACAGGGACCCTTCTGTGCATCTCTGCAGGGAGGGTTTTCCTCTGCCGGGGCTGCTGTGGCTCTGGGGGCTTTTTGTGCAGCTGTTGCTTTATAAATTCTGTGATCTCTGCACAAAAGCTGCAGGAGATCCAGAGGTGGCTGTGGGGGGAGGGAGGGAGCCAGGAATCCTTCACTCCTCTGCACCTCCACCCTCTGTGCCGCTGACAAAGGCTCTGCTTTCTTCTTTCAGGCCCCAAGGGAAGTCTTATCTCTTCTTTACCCAGTTTAAAGCTGAAGTGAAAGGAGCCAAGATAGAGTATGCCATGGCTTATGTAAGTCCCAGCTGATCCCGGGGAAGCAGGAGTGTGGGAGGCTGCTATAAAACATGAATTAGACGTGGAAAACATTTATTAGACATCTGTGCCATAAAATGTGCTCCATCATGTCCCTAATTAGAGACTGGTGGCAGGCAGGAGAGGGGCTGCAGGTGGGCAGGCTGCTCCATTGTGCTACTGCCCTCTCAGTCACAGGGATTTGCTGGGAGGGGGCTCCAAAGGCACCAGGGCACAAAGGGAGGCTTGGATTGCCTCAACTAATTGCATGTGACAAAGCAAATCAAACCTCTGCTGCTGTTTGTGTCTGGCTCATTCTTCCATTTCCCAGTTTCCAGGGGTGAGGCTTTCACTCACCCCGAGGACACGAGCCCGGGGTTTAATAGGAAACGGTGAAACAGCCAGAGATTTTCCTTCCAATTTCCTCTGTGCACTTAATTCTTCCACTGCACAGAAATCACAGACCCGCTCGTCAGTGTGCTGGTTTGGGTTGGTTTGAATGCTGTGGCTTGTTGGACTGCCTCTTACAGCTCCTTCCTTCCTGTTTCAGTCTCAGGCTGCTGTGGGTGCCCAGAGCGACATCCCCTTAAAACAGGAAGAATTTGAGATCACTGACACAACAGGTCTGTGCCTGAGGGAGCAGTGAGAGAGGGGCTGGGCTGGGGGACAGGCCAGGGACCAGTTTAAACTCAAATATCCCCCAGTGCCATGGAGCTGGGGGTGCAGTGCTCTCCATCCACCACTGGCAGCTGGATCTTGTGGGTCCCATCCCAGTTAAATTCCGAGGGTAAGGAATTAACAGCCTGGCCTGTGCAGGAGCGGGAAGAGCAGTGCCCAGACACCCTGGAAAGGGCCCAGTGGGGCTGTTTTGTTCCTGCTTTTCCATCTGCTTCTCTCTCTCTCCCCAGTGTCTCACAGGGAAGGCAAGTTCCGTTTCGAGCTGTCCAAACTCGTGATCGTAGCAAAAACCCCCCGTGACGAGCTGTGACCCCCAGGCCAGCCCTGGGCAGGGGGCTCTGCCTGACCAGCGTGGCAGTGAAGGAATTTCCTGCTGACCTGCAGGCTTTTGCTTTTGGTTGGCCAAACCTTTTCTGTTTTCCATACTGAAATGTTCCGGGGACCGACGCGAGCGGGGTTTGGAGGTGAGGACGGATTTGTTCCGCCGTGTGTCAGTGACACCGTGCTCTGCAGCTGAGAGCTGCCACTCCTCCCGTGCCCCTTCCTGCCTGGCTGAGCTGCTGAGCAGAGCTCCCTGGAAAGGGGCTCCTTATCTGCCTGCCTGGGAAGAGCCTGCAGGGAGATAAGTGCCTGGATTTCAGTGATTTTTCCCTTGCTAAAGGGAAGTTGTTAACTCTGTAGTCTCTGGAGGGGAGATGGGATTTGTCTCTCCACCAGCTTGACAGGAGGAAATAATTAATTGAGAGGGAGGGAGGGATTTGGCCAAAGCTCTGATTCCATGGCAAGTGTGTGGCTGGGGTGGATCCAGAGCTGGGCTTGGGTGGGGGAAGGCAGAGCAGTTTATTCTGACACAATCAGGAATCAATCCAGGCAACACTTCCACATCTCAGTACAGCCACGGGACTGTTTTATACCTACAGAAAAGTGATTTTTTTCTTATCCAGAGTAATAACAGGGAATGTGCAATTCCTTTCCTGAGTAAATACAGCACAAATAAAGAAATAAAGCATCGTGCTCTGGCCTGAAGCTGCTCTGCTCTGTCCCTCCCCTCTGCAGCTGGCTGGACTTTGTTGCTGCTTGGTTGGGAGGAGCTGAGGTGTTCCCCGGGAATTTGGGAGGACATTTGCAGAGGGTTAGGGGGGGACACACACCTTGGCAACAGCCAAGAATTCTGGCTGGGCATCCCTCAGCCCCATCCCAGCACACCTGCCAGGATTTCCAGCTCTGGTTTGTGTCCAGGACACTCCTGACAGCAGCCCAGGGGGGACAGGAGAAGCCAGCCCTGCCCTCCTGAGGGACCAGCAGCAGCTCCTGGTGTTCTCCACACCCCCTGTGAACGGGCTGTGCCCCCAGCCCAGGCTGTGTCACACAATTACCTGTGACAGCTGCAGCCAGGCCTGGGAAATGACAGACACAGGGCCTTTGTGTCATTCATTTATCTTCTGAGGCTGAGTTATCAGGGCCAGTGGTGAAAGGGAGCAGGAGCGGAGCGCCTGTGCCTGGAGACATCCAGCAGGGAGCAGGAGGCACAAGAAGGCCTGGAGATAAGGCCAGTGGAGATTGTGTGGTGCTCCAGGCTGTGTCCCACTGCCACCCCCTGCTCCTGCTGCCAGGGCTCTGCCTTGGGCCCTCCTGAGCAGGGAGGGGTGCAGAGGAGCACGTGCTGGGAGCAGGATCTCACAAAATCATGGAATGGTTGGGGTTTGGAGAGGCCTTAAACTCGTCCAGTCCCACCCTTGCCATGGGCACCTTGCACTGTCCCAGGCTGCTCCAAGCCCTGTCCAGCCTGGCCTTGGGCACTGCCAGGGATGGGGCAGCCTGTGCCAGGGCCTCCCCACCCTCCCAGGGAGCAATTCCTTCCCCATGTCCCACCTAACCCTGCCCTCTGGCAGTGGGGAGCCATTGCCCCTTGTCCACGCAGATCCAGGAGCTGCTGGGCCATTGAGCAGGGACAGCACAAAGCCCAGGTCACAGAGAGCCACCACCCCCTGGGAGCAAAGCCAGCCGTCCCCAGGGCTCATTTTGTCACTGTCACCACTGCTGGAACCACCTCACGGAGCTCCCAGGCCACACAGGTGAGTTTATTGAAATAACTCATCAGGGCTACAGAGTTTGCTAAAAACCAACATCACTCAGTCAAGGGCGTGGAAAAGGGATGGAATCCCAGGGGAGCTTTGGGTGACCAGCAAGGGCAGCGCGGGAGCTGCCAGGTGGCACCGGGGGTGGGAGTTGGGTGTCGGGCAGCTCCCGGGATCCAGGGCAGGAGCAGCTGCCCCAGCCCTCCCCCAGGCAAGGAAGGATCCTCCTGCTCTCAGGGACTTGTCTTTGAGGACACCAAAGCCTGTGCAGAAGCATCTTCCTGCCTGAGGCAGCGCAAGTCCAGAGCAGGATTTGCTCCCATCACGTTGTGGAGCTGCTGGAAGAAAAGCACAGAATTCCACAGCCCTCCAGTCATGGAGTCTCAAACTGTTCACCTCAACCGTCCCACCTGCTCAGAGACACCTCACAGGTGCTTCACACCGCGAGTCTTTGGTTCAGTTTTCCCCTAGAGGGTTACAACAACAGAGTTCAAGGCAAAGAGTCCAAATCCTTGGACTCTGAGCTAAAGGCACTTGGTGGGCAAAGGAAATCAAACTGTCCAGCAGGATCCTGCACCCCAGGATGCCCTGGGGAGGGCTGGGCCCAGCACAGGGAGGGGTTTGCAGACCCTGGGCAAGGGGGAGACAAAGTCAGGAGGTTCAGTGTCTTGGAGAAGCGAGGAGAACACGAGTGAGCGCTGCAGAGAGGAAGAGGGGATGGCGAGCCCGGTGAAGGTCAAAGCAGACGTCGCATTTCGGCCTCACCGGGGGCAGAGTCCAGCTGCCAAGAGCCCACCTGGGCCACCCTCAGATGTTGTCCTCCTCCAGCATCTTGTTGACCCCTTCGCAGATCCTCTTGAGGTGGGTGCGGTAGGGCTCGGCCGGGCCGTACAGCGCCGACAGGAACTCGTAGTCCGCAAAGTGGTTGAAGACGTGGTTGATGCGCGAGTGGGACTTGGCCGTCAGGTGCCCGTTGACTGCCTGGTGCAGCAGGTCCCGGCACTCGGTGAGGACGCTGGACATGACCCTGCGGTCGAAGGTGAAGTCTATCTGGTGGAAGCTGACGGCCGTCATGGCCAAGGTGTGAACCTTCTTGCGGAAGCGCTCCATGACCAGCAGCTCCTCGGGGCTGAACTGCCCGTTGCGGTACAGAACCCCCAGCTTCATCACGATCTTGATGAGGTTTTTGATGATCTTCTGGGCCTCTTTGCGGTTGCGGGTGTACTCCTTGGTGGCCCGGTACAGCTCGTCCAGGATCTCGCTGCTGGTGTCGTCGATGAAGGCGTTGGCGATGGTCTTGGTGGCCATTTTGCTCAGGAGCTTCTTCTGGGCCTGCAGGGCCAAGTTCTTGGTGCTGAAGGTGTCCATCTCTGCGGGGGAAGAGGCACACACGGCTCAGTCCCTGCTCCGCTCCATCCCCATCTCCCCTGAGCGTCCCTGTCCATGGCAGGGCGTGGAGCTCCATGAGCTTTAAGGGCCCTTCCCACCCAAACCATTCCATGATTCCGTCATTCCTCACCTCCCCGTGCGGGTTTTTGGCAGGAGAAATAGCATCTCCAGGCAATGGCGAGACTGAGGGAGCTCCTGGGTGCCAGGGCAGGTGAGAGCTGAGCTCACCCCCAGCTTTGGTTGGTGGCACCACTTTCAGGCTGTTGCCACCTTCCTTGTCCCAAACCGTGCGGAGGCTGCAGCGAGCGGGGTGTCCCTACCTGAGCCGCGAGCCTCCATCGCGGTGTCCCTCCTGTCACCTACGCCTCCCTCCTCCCCGTGCAGGAAGAACTCTTGCCCCATGGTTTTAACATTTTTCCTTCCTTAAAACCTGACTCATTTCCTGCAGGGTGAGCTGGGGACGGCCCAGGTGGCAGCTGAGTCACCCCCGATGCCATGTGCGGCATCCACCCGGTGCTGGCCGCAGCTGGAGCGGCACAGCCGGTTTGCAGCAGCCAGCAATGGCGTGGGAGCCCTTTTCCCTGGCACTGGAACACCCACACAAGCTCAGACCTGTTCTGCCGCTGCCCCAGCCTCCTCTGGAGGTGAATAATTCACCCCGACAGGAGCCTCAGCTCCAGCCCAACTCCCACATCCCGGCGGGACCAAATCCATCACCTGGGGCAGAGCACGGCTTTAAACTCTGCTGGGAACGATTAAAACGCCGCCGACCCTGGAGATGCATCTTGGCCTGGGAAACCGCAGAGCTACAAATCACAGGGAGGGGAGAACAGCGGGAAAACAAGCGGGATGGATGGGCAGAGCTGGGAGCTGCTTATGCAAGAGCCTGCACATGGCATGGACAGCCTGGCAGAGCAGGACGGGATCAGCCTATAAATCCAACCCCAGGGAGGGGAGAGGAGATATTTCAGGTGAAGGAGAGGAGATATTTCAGGTGAAGGAGAGGAGATATTTCAGGTGAAGGATGCTGCTGGTGTG